TTCCCCTCTGGTTCTTTAATGCTTCCTTCCCCCTACCCCCTTATTATGACCCTAATTCTACCTTACAAATCTGGCTAGACCAGAGCATGTACATGGGTACAGATAAGAGCTGGAAACACAGGGAGTATAGGACAGATAAACCCCTCGGGACCAATATTGAGAGTAGCCATTACAGAAGGCTAAGGGGAAGGTCGGGGGAGAAAGAGGGGACCGATCACAATGACCTACCTATAACCCCTCCCAGGGGGATGGATGACAAGGGGGTGGGGGGAGACAGAGGACAGTGCAAGACATGAAAAAATAATAATTAGTAAATTATCAAGGGTTCAAGAGGGAGAGAAGGAGGGGGAGGGAGGGAAGGCATAACAATGAGGAGCTGATGCCAAGGGCTCAAGTAGAAAGTAAATGTTTTGAGAATGATGATGGCAACAGATGTACAAATGTGCTTGACACAATGGAAGGATGGATGGATGGATTGTGATAAGAGTTGTATGAGCCCCCAATAAAATGATTTTTTTTAAAAAAAGGATTTTGGAGTTAGATTAGATTTGAATGCCAGCTTGAAACTTTCTGATTTTGAAGTTATGGGAACACACATGAAGCTTTCTGAACCTCATTTTTTACATCTGTAAAATAAAAATAACTAACATAGGATTAGAACATATGGTAGGTCCAAAACACATGATAAATTTTATTTTGACAGCATTTAGCTGCATGTTCATTAATGGTACTCAACTTAAATGTCTACATTTTCCAGAAAGGTCTCACGAGTGAACAGGTTATTTCTCGAATTCTAGAATTACTCTGTCAGTAACTGTGAGGCAAAACCCCCTGCCTGGGTTTTAAACACACATGTGCCTAGCCCACTGTAGGTCCAATGAATCGCATCACTTATGACGTGAGCAGATATTCTACTGATCGGGAAATAACAAACGCTGATGAGGTTGCAGAGAGAGTGGAGCCCCCTCATGCACTGCTGATAGGACTGGAAATCTGTACAAACTCTGTGGCAAGCAGTATAGGAATGGAAATTCCACAAGACCCAACAGCTCTTCTGGTGGGTATGTGTCTTAAAGAATTAAGCGTCAGAACAGACAAACGCACAGCAATGTTCACTGCGGTACTGGCACAACAGCAAGAAGATGGAGACCACCGAAATGCCTGTCAGAACAGATAAAAAGAACGTTGGTACATAACCGAGGACGGTGCACTGTTGGTTGGCGAACAAACAAGGTCTTGGTACATGAACACTCTGTATGCTGTATTGCGATATGTATTACCCCAGCAATCCTGTGACAGCCTTTCTGTTATATTCTGCTTATGCTCATTTATATTAGGGTGTACCTCAAAGGTGTGTCGTCATTGGGGTTCACCCTCTTGAAGCTGTTATTTGTTGCTTTAGTTTTCAGTAAATGAAACACAGGCTGGTGAGCCTACAGGGAAAGCAACTGTAACAGGGTTTTGGGGGAAGGGGGATATAGAGGGCTGGGGAAGATAGAAGGAGATGAAATCAAGAAGCCCAGGAAGTTAAGGTATGTTTTGAAAAACATGTATGACTATGGAAGAAATTGCAAAATTATGTTTGACACGACTGATTTATGGAATGTTATGACATATGTTTGGGTTCCCAAGTTATAGCAAATTAAAAATAAAAAAAGGAATAGATCTAGGAATGGGTTTGGGGCTCGCACTAAATCCTACCTCCAACTTAAGAACAATTAGTTCTTACATCATGGTCCTGTTACATATTCACCTTCAGGAAATGATCACTGAAGATAAATGTGCTACAGCAAAGTGTGGTGAAGAAGGCACAGGGTGCCGCTCAACTGGAATACTGTCTGAGGTCTTAAAGGCTTGCATTCAAACAAGAAGCCATCTACGGGAGGAGTCAACTAAGTCCACACGGACGAAGCGCACCAGTGTGATCCAGAGATGACAACATTTGAATATGGTGAGGAGAAAAGCATCAGAGCAAAAGTGATGAACACCCAATTGGTGGAGGGCTGTGGGGGATGTGGGATCCTGAACCCATCTGCAGAACATCTCATCAGGCTAAGCCACTGGCAGAGCTGCTGTAGCCAAGGCCGGGGTCTCAGCCTTACTAACAGGCATAGACCATGGTAATCTTGAATATGGTGGGTCGACCTTGATACTTGGCCATCTGTCCACCCGACAGACAGGACCTGAACATGTTCTGGGAATAAGTATCTTTTACTAGCTCAATGATGAAAAATTTCTTCCCTGGCTTTTTGAATGTTGTTTGGGGTTTGTCCCTTCTTACACATTATTTGTCTCTTTGTCTGTATACAATTATGCTTTTTTCCTTACCACCTTAGTGCAATTTTGTTTTTTATTGTTTTCTCTTGGGTCTCCCAGCTGTGAAGCACGGGAGTGGGTGCATGAGAATAACTGACGAGTGGTTACAGGGAATACAGGGGTGGGAGTGGACGATGAGGAGGGCAAGGGGATCTTGGGGGTAAATGGCAGAGACAGGAGGAGGGAGGGA